AAATATCATATGATCATCACCTGATTTCAATTAAATGTTATTGTAAAAAAATTAGTAACGTGATTACTAGTAAAAATAATCGATATTCACCTTACCCTTAAATAAGTAATAAAGTTAATGACAAAATCATCAAAGTTAAAAAAAAAAAAAAAAAAAATTATAAAATTAAACTATTATAAAACTAAATTATTATAAACTATAATTGTTAAAAAACTAATTACAAGTTACTCTTGTTATAGTGAACTCTTGTTATAGTGAAGATTGGCTTATAGTGAAGATTTTTTTAAGAACAAAACCAAAACTATTAATCTTTCACTCGATATAATAAAGTTTTAATAATAAACTCTCAATATAAGATATAGTGAAGATTTTTTTAAAAAAATATAGTATATTTATAATAAATTTACTCTCGATATAGTGAAGATTTATATATAAAATATTTTTCAACCAATTATATCAATTTAAATATTCTTTTGATATAGTAAAAATTTTTAAGTTTATATATAAACTTCATTATATTAAAATTTTTAATATAAAAATCTCTCGATATAATGAAGATTTTTTATTTTAAATATAAACTTTACTATATTAAGAGTTTTTGATATAGTGAATATCTCGATATAGTGAAGAAAATTCTTCAGCCCAACAACTTCACTATAACAAGAGTGACTTGTACCATCTTTAGTGTATCTTTCATATTTTTATTTTATTTTATTTATTTATTATAAGTTAAACATAAATAACTTTAATAAATTTATAATTATCAAATTCCGAAAGCTATTTTTTATAGGTCAAGTATGGAATTTACTCTTTCATAATTTTAATGATTGCCAAATAATATGTGAAGTAATTAATCTGATTTGGTTTATTATTATAATCAGGTGAAAATAAATTATGCACACTGGTTATATTTTTGTGGTACATGTTATTGTATTAAACGGGACATCTATACTGCGCATGTGAATTCAGCTTTAAGATTAATTGTCATGTAGTATATTCGAATAGTAGAAGCGAAATATATACGAATAAAATTTCATAGAACTAAAACTTTCTTTCAGCAGCCAACACGATTTAGCACTCATTTTTAATATAAAAGCAATGAAAAAGTTTATTTACCATTGAAGTTTGGATATGCTTATATAACATCGATAGTTATACAGACAGACTCTAGAAGATACATTTTATTTTCTTCTGTGATGACTTTCTGATCAACTGCAGAATCAAGTAACCGAATAAAATCATCATCTTGCTTAAGCATAAGTTTATTGATTTGTTCTTTTGAGTAATCCAGAAGTTCTTTAGTGCCCATAAAACCCTAAAATGATATATTCACACAACTAGTTAATCTGGTAAAAATTACGATAAAATAATATAAATAAAGTATATCATATATAGATAGTACTTGAAATGCTTTATCAACGGCCTTTTCAATAGTGCTCATGACTGATTTTGGCAATATTTCATCTTTGAGTTGGTTTAAAAGAGGATCTACTGCCTGAAATATATTGGCATTTTGTTCGATAATCGCGTGAATTGTTTTCATATAAGCGAGCAAAAGCTCTTTTCCAGCTTGTAATTTTGTTTGTTTCATTTGTACTATCAATTCAGCAATCTTGTGTTGATGTTCCATTTCAGTTTTCTTTTTCTGAAATTCAAAACTTTTTTTCATCTCCTCAGTACTAAGTTCAATATCTCGCTTGTGAGTTTCATATGCAAGTTCCATTCTTCTTTCTTCATTTACAGTTTCCCGCTTACGAGCTTCATCTTCAAACTCAAATTTCTTTCTTGTAGTTTCAGTATCGAGTTCCATTTGCTTTTTTCTGAGTTCATAATCAAATTCCATTTGTTTCTTTTTATTTTCGGCATCTAAATGGTTTCTTCTTTTTTCATATTCCATGTTTATTCTTTCATTTTCAAAATCTTGTATGAGCTGCATATGTTCACGTTCTAGTTCGTTTTGTCTATTTTCATATTCTTTTTTTTGATGTTCATATTCTTTTCTCGAGTCAGATATACTGTTGCCCATAATATAAAAATATCTATACAAAATCAATTATATTCGACTTTTTAAATTGTAACTCGGAGTCAAGTTCAGAAATGCAACAATAATTGGTACTATGACTCACTAAATGAGCTTTATAAAATTGGAGTGATATATAACACAAAAATTATCAAGCGAATAATTTAACAGTACTTGTCACGGGGTTAAGCGATACTACTAGTTTTAGCACCGAAATCTAACCAGATGTAAATATTATGAACACTCGCTTGTTTGTTACGTTTCGTATGTTCATTAGAATTTACTAGTCACAAAGACTTTATTAATTATTTATCGCTTTATTAAAATGAAAATAAGAGCTACTTTTCCTTGTGCTCATTATTCCTTATTTATATCCCTACATACATTACAATTACGTACATAATTATTAATAAACATAACAGATAATGACGCTATACTATAATTACGAGACACATATGCTTTTAGCTTTGTCTACATTGTCATTGTCATGTGACTAACTTTAATTTTATTGTTTCTTCATTACGACATATGACCGTCATCTACGTGACAGTACTTTAATTTCCAATCAATATCTACTGTTTTATATACCGCATTTCGCCATGGCCGTTATTTCGAATAACGGCTCGAATAAAGCTTAATTTAGGCCAAAGTTTGTAACTGCATCCCTAGGCGTTATTTTGCTCATTGTATTCGAATAAAGAAATTTTATAAGCACAATTTTGGCAAATTAGTACTTTAGAAGAGGGATGTAGAATAATGGTGCATATTTTCTTGAGTTACAGGTTTAAACAAGATTCATTACACCTATTTGTCTTAATGAAGAGACGACGCCAGGCAACCACCCAAAATTTGTGTGCATTTATAATAATATCGATATAATCCTAAATTCAATAAAAATTTTCATTTTAATTCTATATTCTATATAAATTTTTAGAATTAAATAAAAAGTTTTCATCGATTCTGGCCTGGTGGCTGTCAAGAAATCAATTAAAATGTTATCGTATTGTCGCGAAATAACGGGTGTGGCATTATTTAGAAAATCGTACGTGCGCACCTTCTGAAAATAGCATAAATGGAATGAAAATCGTACCTTCTGAAAGGTTTCAAAATAACCATATAAAGTGTCAACTCGACATGTAGATCAACCTGCAGGCTAACTAACTTGAAAGCCCGATGTCTTATTTTCCTTGGCAGCACTCAAATGAATTAGAATTTATATATATATTAATAATATAAAAAAAAAAATTAGAATTTTAATTTTAAAATCAGGTTAAACTAGACCAATTCGAATCTTTGACCCAAACTGATTTTATAGTTTGAGATTCAGTTACTTGAAACACTAGAAAAATCATTAATAACAATTACTATACAGCTATCCCCCTCTAATCACACGTTTTGTTTACTTAAGAGCTTTTTTAAAAAATGTGCTTATAAAGAGATTGTGCTTATATATAGAGGTAGTTTTTTATATGTTTAATAATAGTAATTTGTTTTTGAGTATAGAATGTGATAAAGAGAGGTTTTTATATGATGTGATTATAGAGGGGTGACTGTAGAGGGGATGACTGTATATTGTTTTGCTTAATTATGTTAAGCACTTTTCATATTAGAGTAATACATATACTGTAAATTATAGATAAATTTTATAATATAAAATTTCTATTAAGAATTTTATAAACTATACTGTGTATTAGGCCGTACAAACTCAATAAATCGGTTCTCGTAATTCGGCCGGGTCAAATTCTGCAAATTTTGAATTATACTGTATTTGCGCTGTATATAAAATTTTATGAGAACCAAAAAATTAACTTTGCATGGCCTTATATTATTTATTGTTTATTTTACTATATAGAATGTATTTAAAAAAGTTACTATATTAATATTTGTTTATAAACTATTTACTTTACAGAAACTAACAAAAATTATTTTTTGAGTTTAAGATAATATTAAAAATATTAATATGATATTTTTATAATTAAAACAGTATAAAAATAATTATAAAATTAGGGCTTAATAATTCTAAAATTATTATAGAATTATTATTTAAGATTATTATAAGATTGTTATATGATTTTATATAACTTTTATATGATTATTTTAAGATTATTATAAGATATATATAATTTTAATAATTTTATTATATTCTCTAAGATTATAATATCAATAGAAAAAAATTAGCATATTTCTGTAAAGTAATACTTTAAAGTTCTTAATTTTGTACAACAAAATTTAGCATAAGCATGTTTGAGCATAAATCTAATAATTTTTATAAATAATAAGAAAAATATCTTTAATGGTTGACTTCAGAATAATTAATTGACATGGTAATTTCTTCCACTTGTACGCTGTATTGTTTGTGTATCTCTCTATAAAATTAGAAAAAGTTACATAAAATAAGTAAAAGATTATATGTAATTAAAACCATATTTTATAGTTAAACATACCCGTAAATGATTCCAAGAAGTGTGATCAACATTGCCATAGGGATTCCGTCTAAGCTTATAGCTGCTAGAGTTACGTATATTAGCATGTTCTTGTCTATTATCCTTCTCATGAGAGCTATAAAAAAACCCAAAAACCCAAGCCAACAAACTATAACAAGTAGGCTAAAATTCATAACCTTGAGCTGCATATTGTAAAATATTTTATGAATAATTACAATATGAAAATGCGAGCTTTATTCAAAATTTTTTTTGAATCAAAAAAAAAAAAATAAAAAAAATAAAAAAAATACCTTCTTCAAATAAATAGAATAATTTTTTAAACATGATGCCCTATGATGCGAATATTTTATGTCCATCAATCCCATTAGTGTAGCACTTTCATCAAGTAATTTAATAATTAATCTCCCATACTTTATAAAACACACGATTCCTAATACATCTGAAACTCCAAGTTGAATTGCTAGAAGAGTATAGGTTATACTAAATGGCAATTCTTTACCAGTTCCTTGAAAATAACCTTTTAATATTGACAATATTATAGCACAAACGAATGAAGCAATTGTAAATGCCCAATATACTTTAAGTACTGAGTTAGGGTTTGGTATAAAACGATTTGCCGTCAAATGGTCTTCAGGAAGATCTGCATCGACACTAAAGACAGTGTGTTGGTTCAATGCTAATCGAGGAAGCACTTTAAATCTGAAATAAGATGTTTTTGAGTCTATATTCATTAATAAATTATAAATCAAATCATTATTTTAGACGAAAAATTACATGCTAACTAAGTAGATTGCAATGGCATTGCATCCAAACGCCCAACCAAGAGCTGCAACAACTGCTTTTAAAATATAACTATCATGTATCCAATCATTCGTTGCTATTAGCATTGAAACTGCTCGAACTGGAAAAAAATTTTTGAATATCGTTAACATTAAAGATAGAGTATTTTGAATCTAAAGGCTTTAAAGTTAAAATTTTATATATTCTACAATGGCTAACGGTTTATAAACTATTGAATTAAGTATTGAAGTTGATTTAATGCATTTGTTAAATAAATATCATACGTACTTATTCCATACAAAATCATAGAAGTTAAAAATCCCTTAAGAGGATTCATTCTTATTTGAATATTATTCCAGATAGTCTTATAAACTAAAATGGCTAGTGATAAAACTGAGATCGTAAGACATAATATTATTGATACATAACATATTTGGACCAAGTATGAGCTTCCTTCACAGTTTGTTATAAGCAATAACTCCCATTTACATTGCAGGAGAAAATTGGTTTGGCTTTGTAGAGTCACATTATCGTTTAAGCTTGAAGATTGTGAAGTCATAATTTATCATAATCGTAAAGAATTAAATCGCAGAGTTTATTTTGTGTATATAATACAATTAAGCTAACGGCGATATCGATCTTATTATATGCAAATTTTGATCGGTAACATTATTCTGTATTTCCTTTTTTGGTTCACACAAACAACCACCAATCATGTAATATTTTGTTCTAGTACACTCTTGATATTGGCTCATTGATTATGAGAAAAATGTTATTGTTGACTCTTCAACATCGTACGTACGTGCACCCATTTGGTAAATAAAATTGCCTCAAATATAAATATATGCTGAATAAGAGGTAATCTTCGGTCAGCGGAGAGCACTTTATCCGCCAAATAATGGAGTTTATCAGTCTAGTTGATAACAATAGGAGTAAGATTTATATATGAAGGATACCAAAAAAATCTTTAAACCATATTTGATTATATTCTTTAAAGTTTACTTTTGATCGTAATATCGATATCCTGAGATTTCACATAATTTTAATACAATTCGACTTGTTTCAATGAGGACAAGTCGAATAGTATTAAAATTGATGCATTCAATTAAATATTAGTAAATTCGTCAGGAATATTATTACAGATTTCTCTTGCCGTTACTCATTGGTCGAACATTACAATAATAACAAATGTTTTTGTAATATATATACAATTCGAAAAGGGTCATGCAACAAATGATACGACATCTATAGAACATTGAAGTCAATAAGAGAAGACGATTAGAATTTGATACATTCACAGTTTCGTGTAGTCTAGTCCTTAAATAATTTCTCTTTTTTCTTCTGTTTACTTATTAAAATACTTCGTGTAAATACCCACAACTTTCAATGAAACCTCAAACACTAACCTAAAGAAGTAACGAATATGATATTTTTTTTTGGAATGATTTCCATGGCTACTTAAGTACGTACGTACCACTGTTCGACAATCAATAGTAATACCAGATTATTTCATTGATGTATTGTCTTTCAGTTTTTTGTGGTTACATCTAATTTTCCCGACAGGCTATTTAATTTATTAATAATAATATATACCTAAAACTAATAAAATGCTAACCCTAACCGTATTTTATATGTGATACTAGATTCATACCCGTGATTATGATTTGTTTTGTCTCTCATTTTTGGGTAATTTGTAATAAAAATATCCTGAGCCGTTGGGTATTAGCGGAAACGAAGCTTCCGCTTGTACACATACAGATCTGGGTATTTTTATTAAATACCCCGTGATCTTGATATAGTGATCGGGGTATTTCTATGGAAATACATCTGTGTTTTCTCCTGCTAATCGAGCAACCTACGCAGTTTTTTAGTATCGTGTAACATTTTAATCTTTTTCTCTTTTTTCTTCTCTCTCTTTTTTTCTTCTTCTTCTGACTGTCGTCCCGACAAGCCATAGAATGCATTAGAATTTTGTACAAATGTCGTCTCGGTAGGCCAAGTCTTTAAACCAAGTACATTAGCCACACAGCCTTAGCTTCTCATATGACTGTCGTCCCGACAGGCCATAGAATTCATTAGAATTTTGTACAAATAACTGTCGTCTCGACAGGCCAAGTCCTTAAACTAGACACATTAGTCACACAACCTTAGCTTCTCATATGACTGTCGTCCCGACAGGCCATTTCGGAAAAATTTATTGGGTAGGGGGAAACCAGAACGAATGTCGGATTCGCAGAAGAAACAAGATTATTTTCCATGCATACCTAATATACCTGTACATTCAACTAATTACTTAGACTTTTCCATTACCTCATTTCACACGTATCTTATAAGAATTATCTCATACTTACCTAACATCACTGATCGATCACTTGATCGTTTATTAGACCGGACATATCACATGGTTGGTCTTGTGATGATTCGATGCAAAAGCTGCCTCGATACTTACGTATCGAGCAGCTTTATAGTGATCGGGATATTTTTGACCTGCTTTATTGCATCGCTAAACAAGAAATTAGGGATCTGCAAATGCCCATGCCAGGCAAATTAGGCATCAGGCCAGGCACTAGCATCTTGCAGGCACTATACATCTATACTTATGCCTGACACTTTACATCTATACTTATGCCATTTTTTGTATCTGTGCCCATGCCTGTGTCCATGCCCGTGCCAAACCTTTGTGTCTATAACTATGCCCATGCCTAAGATTTTGTGTCTGCGTTTTGCCTATGCTTTTTGTTAGGCATGAGCACATCCCGACCTGCAGATCCCTACTAGATATGTACCTTAATTATTTATTAAAAAATGCATATATGGTGATTTTTTGACTCATTACGTATATACAACCATCACAATCGGAGATTTCTGTTCGTTATGTGATTGTGTTCTCAAGCAGTTTCTTCATAGCGAAGTTTAATTTTAACCAATCAGTGCAACTCCATGAAAAAATAGGTGGTTGTATAATTGTTCCAAGTTTTTTCTAGCAAATCTGATCGTTCGGTAAGCCCACGCTTGTGAACTATTTTATTGGTATAAAAAATTTGACCAGTAACATCAAATAAGATGATTTAGCACATTTTGAGATACGTGTAATTCTCAGCTACTACCTTAAAATTTATTGGTTAAAAGAAAAATACTGGTTCTTTAAAACATTTGCTTTACTATCATTATTTGTGCATTGTAGCTTTTATTTGTATTTTAACTGTTATGACTAACGAGCCAAATTTTAGGATTTATTTTACTTATTTGCACCTAAAAAGGAAATAATCTACTATTTGGGTTTGGGTTAGGGTGCTATATAGGTGTGAATTTAGGAAAAAATCTTTATAGATGTTTTCGTGTAACATGCCTAAATGTCGAACCCACATATGTGTCACCTAAGTTGTATGCCCAATTTAATTCCTAATTGTATGAAGAAAATGGCGTGATGTTGAATTATAAATTTTAACTTTAATTTTTATTATTATATATTGCAAATCTTATTAGTAAGATTTGCAGGTTTTCTCTTGGCGGCACTCATATATATTGTATAAGAGTACCCCAAAGGAGACCTTCTCTCGCCTTTTAACTATATTGCCCTTCCTGACAATTCTATATATATCTCTATATATGGAGTGATTTCAATAGAAACAGCCCATTTTTACATATATTTATTTTGAAATAATTGTGTTTAATCATTTGTTTTGATTTTCGGACTGATCCATGATTATCGGATTTCACGATTTTTGATTGTTATCAGACTTTCAGTTATATTTGTATTGGACATAACCTATTTAATTTCTTAGTAGTTAGTGAATATGTCCGGTACAAATATAACTGAAAGCCCAATGACAGGCTTTCCCTTGGCGGCACTCATTAAATATGTTACGTATTAACACCTATAATAAATTATGATATTATGTCCACATTTTTAGTCAGATTAAATTTGAGTTAAAATACTCAACTATGTCGATCACTAATTGCGGATTTTTTATAGGCACATACTGTATAAAGACATAAAATAATTTACATTTTTTTAACACAACTGATAAGCAAAATTACATTAAATTTTTTTTAAATGAAAACTCTATGGTAGCTCTATTGAGATCTTTTAAAAAAAACAAAGTATCTTGAATATTTTAAAGAATCTTAGCTCTGTTTCATGGTACAACTACTTGAAAATTTATTTAAAAAAAAATTATTTGAGCTAAAAAATGTAAATTTATTTTATATGTTTTATATGTGTGTAAATCGATTCCTGTAAAGAATCCAAACTTAATGATCGACTAAATTAGTGTTTTTGAACACCCTAAAGATAATTCATTAGTTAGCGTTAGTTATATCTTAAATTGAAATTGAAATTGCAAACTTATTAACATATAGAGCTACAGTTTTGTTTGCCATCACATGGTAAAACCACAGATAAATGATCTAGTTTTATAAGATTATGCTGGATAGATAGACTGCATATTATAGCACTCAAGCTTATGTGACAGATAGCGATGGGAATTTCTAATTATTAATTGTTTATAGGAAATTGTTAAATTAATAAATCATTTTTAACAATTAATAATTGAATTATCCAATATG